GGGTTGGGCGGGGGGGGGGGGGGGGGTGAGAGAGACCGGGAAAGGAGACACACTGGAGAGGCTGAGCGAAGGCGCAGGGACAGGCGCGGCGAGTGTGCCTCTGGATAAAGCACAGCGAGAGCCTCAGCCTTAGGCCTTAGGACAGGGTGTTGCGATGCCTAGAAAAGCTCAGAGTGGCCCTGTGACCCACAGACTGAGGCCGGCACCAAGGCAGAGCATGGAGCCTCAGCCTGGGCTCCTCAACGCAGAATGTCTGGCAGGGAGCCCCCGAAGCCAGCCTGTAGGCAGCCAATGCCATGGGGGGGCGCTGAGCCTGCCCCCCTCATTCTGCGTAGCGACCCAGGAGCGCACAGAGCAGGGTCTCAGGCATTTCGTGTGGGAGCACGTGAGGCACCTGCCCCACCCCACACAAAGGGGCTGGAGGAGAAGCAGCTGCTCAGCTGGGAAACCCCGAGTCCAGTGCCATGCTCCAAGCACGATGGCCCCCCCCTCAGCCTAGCCGCTCTCTGAGGGCACAGAGCACACAGCTCAATGCCTCGCTCCCCCGCTGGGGCGCCCACATCCCAAGTGAGGCCTCGAACCACGGGGCTAAAAGTGACCCTGTGGGTGGGCACCCCCTCCTCCCTGGAGGCTGCAGCTTGAACGAGCCACCGAGCGCGCCCACCAGCCGGGGCTCTCATGCCAAAGGAGGATAAATGCCCGTGTTCCCAGACTGTGAGCCGCTGCGGGGCTGGCACAGTCCTTGTGAGCCAGCCAGTCCAGCCCCTGCATCGAGGCAGCCCTACGATCCCTGGCAGGGGGTTGTCCAACCTGGTCTGGGAACCCTCCCCCAGGCTGCCTGGGGATGGGCCAGAGCTTAGCTGTCCTTTGGTGCCTGATCTTTAGATTGTTCATCAACTTCCGGTTATCCTCCTTAGGGGTGACAGAGCCTTGGCCCAGGGTCAGTATTGAAATTAGTCTGTGGTTGCAACACGCACTGTAGGACCTCTTGTGTATTTACCATACACTGTATTCATTCTTTGGGCAGCGTCGCAAACACCCCAACTTCACCAGACAGACAGGGAATGTACCTTGCACTCACACCATCCCCACTAGAGCAACCGGAAGAGCCACCATCGCCTTCCCCATCACCACCATGGCCATCATCCTGGCACCTTCCAAGGACAAACTGGAGAAATGGTCTGAGGGAAACAGGATGAGGTTTAATAAAGACAAATGCAAAGTGCTCCACTTAGGAAGGAACAATCAGTTTCACACATAGGCCGTGTCCAGACTCAGGGGTTTTTTCGGGAAAAGTAGCCTTTTCCCGAAAAAACTTCCCCTGCGTCCAGACTCAAGCGCCTAACTCAATTCTAACTCAAATTATTTCGAAAGAACGTGGCTTTTCTTTTGATGGCGGTAAACCTCATTTCACAAGGAAGAACGCCTTCTTTCGAAAGTTCCTCTTTCGAAAGAAGGCGTTCTTCAATGTAAAGAGGCCGTCTTCGAAAGAGAGCATCCAGACTCGCTGGGTGCTCTCTTTCGAAAAAGCGGATTTCTCTTTCGAAAGATCCGCCTGCAGTCTAGACGCGATCTTTCGAAAGAGGCTCTTTCGAAAGATGCTTTCGAAAGAGCCTCTTTCGAAAGAAGCCTGCAGTCTAGACATAGCCATACAGAAAGGGATCTAGGGATTGGCGTGAACCACAAACTAAATATGAGTCAACAGTGTGACACTTGCAAAACAAAACAAAGAAACAAAAAATCCAAGCCTAAAACCCCACCGCATCACCCTGAGTTGCATTAACAGGAGCGTGATGAGAAAGACACAAGAAGTCATTCTTCTGTTACTCTGTGCTGAACAGACCTCAGCTGGAGGACTGGGTCCAGGTCAGGGTGCCATATTTCAGGATGATGAAAGGTCTAGAAAACCAGTGAGGGAAGATTGAGAGAACTGGTCTTGTTTAGTTTGGAAAAGAGAAGTCTGAGGGGACATGAGAGCGGTTTTCAAGTATCTAAAAGGGTCAGGCCATTTGCAGTACTGTGTCCAATTCTGGGCCACCCCATTACAGAAAGGATGTGGATACATTGGAGAGGGGCCAGCGGAGGGCGACCAGAATTATTTGGGAGTTGGAGCACGTGACACATGAGGAGAGGCTGAGGGATTTGGGTTTATTTAATCTACAGAAGAGAAGAGTGAGGGGGGATTTGCAGCCTTCAACTTCCTGAAGGGGCCTGCCAGAGAGGATGGAGAGAGGCTGTTCTCAGTGGTGGCAGAATGAAGAGCGATGGTTTGAAGTTGCAGCGGGGGAGGTCCAGGTTGGATATTAGGAAAAACTATTTCCCTGGAGGGTGGGGAAGCGCTGGGATGGGTTACCTAGGGAGGGGGTGGAATCTTCATCTTTAGAGGTGGTTAAGTCCCGGGTTGACAAAGACTTGGCTGGGATGATCGAGTT